AGATCTCCAGTGTAGATTTTAAAAATATAGATGATTGTGTGACAACATAACTGTCTCTTTCTTCCGAGTTTGCGAATGATTTTTTGTTTATTTCTGTTCACTTCTCTCAGTATAATAACCAGTCAAACTGTAATTAAAGTAGTAACTGTGGATTTCATCAATATCTATCGCTTTTTTCTAGTAAAAAAATTTAAGTTACTGCCTTGTAAAAGAAACCATGTGGATTTCATGATCTAGAGAATTTAATAGTACACGTATTTGATTAACTGATTGGTACGAATACCTTTCAATAACAGTGTAAGAACTCATCCCAATGAATTACTTTTTCTTATGTAAACAAGATACGGTATATATTATTAAACCAGAGGGTAAAGAAAGAGAAGTGATGACAAAACAAAACACAGACATACATACAGAAATTGCGATTAAATTTCGTCGTTCTATCTCATCTATTATTCTTAAAAAATGGCACTTTCTCTCTGCTTCTCTCTGTATATGTGAAAACTGATCTTTCTCTCTTGTTACATACATAATGTGTTACACAGATCTTGATATATTGATGTATTTAAACAAAATTTTCAAAAAACCCTTTTGTAAAACAAGATTGAAGAAATGTATATATCATGTATTGTTCAATTTTGATTTTAGATAGGTTTCACTTTTTTTTTTAAAATTCTCTCTAAAAAAGAAAGGCAGAATACTATCCAGAGTTTAATAAGTTATTTTACGTAATAATTACATATACACATGCATTATATATTGTTCTTTCTCATATGTTTGAAGGCTAAAAATGTTGTTTAACGTCATTTGTTCATCATCACACAATAAATATAGATTTCTTTCTCACTCATTTCTGTTCAACGTTCTTTTTTATGTAAATATACACATAATATGGTAAAGTTGTCTCAAGTTAATAAAATAGATCAAGTGAACTATATCGATTCCATATTAAACTATTGACGATACTAACACGGCAATTAGTTATCTGTGTATAACGATAGAAAGTATATAGGAAATATATTGTATCATTTAAAATACTAATGGAGCTAATGTAGTTCATTTTATACTAGAAAACTATTACTAAATAAGATAATGGTCTTTTAACAAAAATTATTCTCCAAAAGCAGATAGAACAATAATGTATCTCTTCATGAGTTGATGAATAATTGTTTTAATTAAAAATTCATCAATAATTGAAATATGAGATCATTTTGATACCTTAAAAGTGTTTCATTTGCATATTTTAAAATTTTGTTTAAAAATATTTTAATTGTCCTACATGTCAATTTCTGTCTATATTAACTATCAGACTTGTTTAACTAAATATATAAGATCAATTAAACTCCCATGGAAAAGTGAGGGACAATAACTACTTAAAGTAAGAAATGACGTTTTATAGAAGTTTGCAAGACAACATAAAAAGTATATTTCAAGAGATTTGAATGAATAAAAAAGTTTTTTTTTTTTGCTTTCTAATCGTATATCTAGTAGAGTAAAATGTTGTTAAAATAATGTTAACTATATTGTAGGTAAGACATTTTCAAAAAAAAGTAGATAATACATGCACAAATTATGAAGAAAAATGTGAGACTTTTGAATTTTAACTCTCTTTTAGAATAATTTTCCTACAAATAGTATATAGTACATAAATTTTGTTAAAAAAAATAAAATATAAATATTTGTTAAAATATCAAATAATGAAATATTAAGTAATTGTTCTTGTTTATTATTGGTCAACTTTCATTTTGTGTAAACAAACACGCACACATATACATACATACATACATGTACACTTTTAGAATTTAAAATAAGTTATTGTACTTTAGAAAACCGCAAATGATGTTTTTTTATATTTTGTGTTCATATACCCATACACATTGAATCGTATATGTAGCACATCATTGCACATCAATATGGCAATATATTATAAAAATGAATTTTTTTATAGGACGATATGAGATATGAGAGTTTAATAGTTTTTGGTGGTTGAATAATAAAAATGCGGCTGCACATAAAGATTTGATATTTTTCATGATATTGCATGATCTTAGATAAGAAGAAGAAGAGAGAATATATTATTTTTTGAGACAATAAAAGAGAAATGTGAAAATTTCTTTTTTTTTTCGTTTTTCAAAAAAATTGCATATTGCCTCCATCATCATCATCTCATCATCTTCATTGTAGTTATAAATCAGTACACATACATACACTTGCTCAAGAAAAAAATGTTAAATTTTACTTTAAAAAAAAAATATGTAAAGAACAAAAGGAAGAAAGAATGAAATACCATCAAAATTTAACAAAAGAAGAAAAAGAAAAGACGAGAACTTTTCAACTGAATTTTTGTGTGATGTCTTGCTCTTCGCTTTTTACTGTCTTACGTGTGTATAAGAAGAAAAATGAAATTCTTTTTCTTTTTGTTTTCGATTATATCCTTATTATAATAATAGTATACTTGAAAATCAGCATACATACACACACACACACATGCACACACACACACACACACACACACACACACACACACATATAGAGAATATTTGAAATTAAAATTGTCCATGTACGACGGACATCATCAATTTCATAAGAACAAAAATTTATCCAAAAAAAAATACATATACATCTGTTATATTGTGGAGAGTTTATATATTGTTAAAGATCTTTAGTTGCAGATGATTAGATTAACAACAAGCAAGATAAATGTGACATTTTTTTAGAAGAAACAAATATATAATTATAAACAATGGCCCATCTAACGATAGTAACGAAAAGGTAAACACGTTGCACTTCTTTTGGTAAAGTGCTTATATATATATATATAAAACAACCTTTTTTTCTTTTTTTATCTCTCATTTGGCATCATATATTTAAATCGATTATAATTTTTGATAAAAATCAAAGAGTAATTTATTTCATTTTGTAAAATTTCATTTGGTTTTTGAATGAAGCTGATGATACTAAATCTTTACTTTTTTTGAAAAACTAAAAAACAATTAAAGTACAGCTCCTTCGAAGTGTTAGTGAAATATTTTCATTTTCATGTGTCAAATCGTCTCATGTAGTTTAAAGAAATAAAGAAAAACTATAATAGAGTGTGAAACTAGTTTAAGTGAACGTTTCTTTTTTAGTGAGAAAAATCTCTATTTCAATTCTAAAGAACTATTTATCATTGAGATATATCCATTATACTTCTCATTTTATGAAGCGTAGTATTTATCAGAAAATTTAAAACTTTTGTATCGATCATGTTGATGCGCGCACATTCAACAAGTTAATATAAGACAGTTTATGTTCTTGGCTTTTCCAAAGCAGACAATTTAAGGTTGAAACTTTAGAAGAAGAAGAAAAAAAAAAATAACACTTATAAACGTAAAGTGTTTTTTCTTGACGAAAAGTTGAGAGAGTAAAATTGTACTTTGTAGAAAATGGACACCCCATGTATCATATTTTCTCAATCTTTAAGAAAGAAAGACAGCTAACTGATATGAAAGTACTGAAAATGTACTCATACATTTTTTTTTCCCGAAAAAACAATTATCTATTGATGGTAAACTTTATAAGTAGAATTATTATGTGTTGTTTTATTTGGTGTCAAAGTCTCGAAACTCGTAGTTTTAAGAGCGAACATGATATGAAGTGAAAAGAGAAAAAAATATCATATTACTCTGCTGTCATATGAATACGGAAAGACTGTACTTGTTAAAAATTAATTTTTTTTTTTGATCTTCTTTTTCCGTCTGAATCCGTACAATTTTACTGGAAACAATAATTTTAATAAGTTTCGGAAATTCTTTTTCTTAAAGAGAAAATTTTTCCTTGATTTGATTGAAACAGTCATATTATGATTTCATTTTGTTCCCTTTTAACATATTATGTTGAGAAAAAAAAGAAATCATTTTTCTCTTTTCTACATTAGTTTCTCGAATTGTTTTCTATATTATAAAAAAAGAAGAAGAAGAAGAAAACTCACCAGCACCAAACATATCTTGTTTCTTTGAATTAGTACTTTGTTGTGTTTAATTTTTTCTTCATTTTTGTTTTTTCAATCAGGAAAATATTAATTTTCTTTGTACTCTATAAAAATATTTCTGTTAGTCTTATATGCACATTTGATTTATTTTCATCGATACTAATAAGAAACTCATGTACAGATAAGTTATGATAATGTTAAAGAGATTTTTTCTGAAATAATATTTTTAAAACCTTGGCACAACGGGTCTTTTTTCCTATTTTAGTTTTTGTTTCACGTCGAAGAAAAAAAAAAATGAGTTTTTCCAAATTATTTTTATTATTATTATGTTTTTTTTTTTTTTTTCACTGTAAAAAAGAAGGGAAGCACAGAGTAAGACTCATGTTGTTCTATTCATTTATTTAAAATCTTTTCTATAAGTCGTTTCAATTCGATAAAAAAATTATTTCTTTCCTCTTATATATGATGGACTATCGTTTTCCATGATTGACATTCACGATGTCAGAAATGGAATTCACTAGAGAATAATATTCAGTAATAATAACAGGTGGATAACGTGTTTCTAAAAATAATAAAAAAATTTTAAAAAAAAAAAATTAAAAAAATTGATAATTGCCTAAGTTTATACAATTAAAAAGTAAATTTAAAGTAAGCAAAATATATTTAGAAGAGAAGTTATTATATGTAGAAAAATTTTTTTTTTGTTAACTAGAATATAAGTTAATAAGTAGTTTTGTTAACAATCATTTTTCCATGTAACAGTTGGTATAATATACTAATGTTACGTCATTATTCGCTACACACGAACACGCAATACTATTCTCATATAGTTCTATATCTTACAGTATCATATTCCTTGTGTTGTTTAACAAGAATTTTTGTGAAAAAATTGATTATTATTTGTAGTAATAATGAAAAGAAGGACGTTGGATGCCAATAATAACCTTGAATTTCTTTTTTCTTGAAAAAAAAAAACAAAACAAAAAACGTTTGTTCCGCCAAATATGCTTTGTGTCTGTTTCAAGGAGAAATGTTTGTGTATGGAAAAGGAAATGAATGGATTGGCAAGAGGCAACACAGCATCATAGTAACTTCTTTTCTTTTTTTTTTCGTAAATTTCCGTTCAATCTTCCATATAGTTCGTAAACATCATTAGATCTTATTATCCAGTCTGTAAGAAAGCAGGACCACAAGGATAAAAAAATTCGTATCTTTGAAAATAAACACGCACATACATTGTTTCCTGGAAAACTTCAATGTATTTAAATTAGTTCATCAGTATTTCTCACGCTTTTAAAGAAGTTTTATTTGAATGTGCGACGTTAATACTACTTGAACTTTACATTTTAAATGTTTAACTAACGAAAAACATAACCTTTTTATTTAACATAAAAATAAAATATGTCACAATAGCTGTTTTTTTTTTTTTTGTATGTTCATGTTGTAATAGAAATTAGAATTTCACTTTCTACTAGGAAAAATTACGACAATATCTAAGTGAAACTTTAGTTGATTTAAACACTGATAAAGTTGACACAATGAACACAACATTAAAAACTTGAAGTTATTTCAACACAATCATCGTCTGATAATATGAATATCTATCATCTTTATAGAACAAAATATGTTCTATTCACAAGATACGATGTTTATAATTTCATAGAAATTTTGATAAATGTCATTCTTTTTTGAATTATACGCTTTTGATTCATAAACATTACTAATACAAACATTTATTTAAACTTGTAAAAAATTATGTTAGTAGTGAGTGGTATTAATCTAATTGAAGAAGCTCATCGTTCATTTTAAATATATATTTTAATGTTTTACTGTAATAGAAAATACTTCAACCGTATAAAATTTTCTATTTGAATTTAAAATTCTTCTAAAATAGAAATTTTTTCTAATTTCTTTTTTTTTTGATAGAATTTTAATTTCTATTACAACATTTATATTAGTATGGGAAAATGTATTGATTAGTATTTAAAAAATGACTATTGTAACCTATTGATTAACTCTTCTAATTAATTGTCTTTATAGAAATCATTTTACCTTGCGTGATATACGAAGACAAAAATTGTTGTACATATAATAAAAAAATTTGATCATTTAATAATCATCTACTATTATTAAAATCAATATCGTGTGACTGAATATGTGATAAAATTATAATTTTGTTTAAAGAGTTTTATTTCCGTTTTGAGAGACTAGAAAAATGTAGAAAAATTTAGAAGGTCATTACATCAACAGACAAATATGTCATGTCTAACACATTTTACATGAATATAATGAATTTATATGAATTGGGTAAAGTTTACTCTTCATTTACTTCAGTTTTATAGATTTTGATGTCACTAAAACGAGTATGTCGAATCATTTAAATTTTTTGACGTTTTATAACACGGACTCAAAATACTAGTCTTAGTAAATATTTTTCTTTTGTACAGAAATGATATATACATGCATACATTTGAATGATAAACCATTTCAAACACTTCAATAATAACTAAAATATGTTTTCTCTAATTTATTTAAATGCTATTATAAATTTGTCATATAACGTAGAATAGTTAAATTCAAAATATATTCTTGAAAAAAAACTAAACTTTCTTCTTCTTCTACACCGTCATCATCATCATCACCATCATTATGGATGTCTATAAACGTAAAAAGTGAAAAAGTCATTTATTTTTTTTTAAATAAGTTTGTATGTGAAATAATTGTTGTTGTTATCATTGTCGTATTATAAATACACAAACACAAAAAAGAAATGATTATCAATAAAGTAAAATAAATACAATAGTAATAAATTACTAATAAAAGATGCTAATTGTATAGTACAGAGTTATGAAAACCCGTTAGTTATAAAAAAATTTTTAATAGCAAATTGTTGGTTTGTTGTTGTTTTTGTTTGTTTGTTTGAGTATAATTCACTTTGTTAAAAGTGTATGAGAAGAAAAATTTACATTTACGAATTAACACTTGAGCTTGAAACTAAAATTTTTCTACTTTGATTGAAGGTCACTCACCTTGAAATTTATATCCAGGTGTATCACAGAGAATAAAAGAAATTCTCAATTGACAATAGCATCATTAAAAAGATCCTTATAATCGATATGTATAAATCGTGAGATCGAAATATCCATCTGTAGTTCAGAATAATACAAAACTCTAATTTCAGAGACATAATAGATATTTACAAAAAGTATCATGACATTTTGATAATTGGTTTGTTATATTTATAATATGAGTACTTATATCTAGAAAGTCTAATTTAATATCGAATCCATTTTTTTAAATCTTAACACTAATTAGAACTTTGAAGTGTAACTAGTATAGAGTAATTTTCTTATAATATGGTTCTACTAAAATCTTTTTTACTTAAAATATGTAAAATTTATTTCATCAGTTATTTAACATAGAAAAAATAGAAATTAGAGACAGACGATTCGTTGTGGTCAATTAATTTTATGATGTTAAAATCTTCGAGAGAATAAGTCTTGTTATTTGTGACATCAGACACTCTATAGTGATTGATCATTGATATATAAGTTAGATCATGCCATAGTAGACATTAAATTGTTTAAATTGACACTTTTTGTAAATGTAAAATAATACATCTGCGTGTTACATCTAAACTGAATGCTTTTCATTCTAAATTTGCCATATATTTAGACCATCATTGACTCAGTGGCCCTTACAGCGAAGCATTTATACAATTCAACCTGGAGCGAAGATTTCCGTTCATAATCCAACATTATCAACGACAGTCAACACTATGATGTCTCAAAATCATGATAGTGTACAAGTTCTTAATAATTCAATATCATCTTCTGTATTAACAAATCATAATAGGTTCACATCACGATCATTTCATTCATTAGATAATCAAAATCATTTACCTCTTATTCATAATAACAATAACAATAGTAATACTAACAACACATGTCAAAATGTATCATTAGATGATAGTCTAACAAATTTATCTTGGTTACATGATATGAATATTTTAAAACGAACTATGCCAACAATACAAACACCTACAAAATTAACTAATGATAAAGATATATCGTCTACTCAACAATTGAAACGTAAAGATTCACCATTATTGTCATCAGCGACTTGTACAGAAGATGATAAAAGTTTAATTGCCGATGAATTATTATCATTGGCTGATACAACGACAATGACTGATTTATCAAATTTGCCTGACTGGCGTACATATCGAATAAATCCAAATGCAAAACCACCATATTCTTATTCACAATTAATTGTTCTTGCAATGCAACATAGTAATGCTGATAAAATGACATTACAAATGATATATGAATGGATAACAGAAAATTTTCCATATTTCAAAAAAATTGAGTCAACATGGCAGGTATGTTTTTGAGTTCAAAAAAAATATCTCACACAAGATCTTATAGGGTAGACTATTGTTCTTTGTTTAGAATTCCATTCGCCATAATCTTTCACTGAATAAATGTTTTATGAAAGTGGCTCGTACGAAAAAAGAACCCGGTAAAGGTGGGTTTTGGAAACTTTCGCCCGGATATGAACGACAATTTGCTGAACAAATGACTGGAAATGGTGATCAAAAACAAATTGTATCACATACTCAACAGTCATCTCAAAATTCAACAACAACGACAACAAAACGTCGTCGTTCACGATGTTCAAATTTAGATGATGTTCTATCTGATAATGTCACACCTATAATTAAGAATCAAACAAAATGTACAAAACTTGTTAAATCTGATACTTGGTATGATCCTGTTTTACCCTGTATCATACCATCAAAAATTTCTCCTTTGCATTGCAATACAATCTCCACAGCTCAACATCTTCGTCAACAATATCATCAACAGTCATCAAAATCATTATTACCTACAAGTGTATTATCACCAGTATCGTCACCAGATTCAGGTATATCATCACCATTTGCAACGTATATTCAGAAACAACTATCATTTGATTCAATAGATAATTTAACAACACATCAGCAGAATAATAATTTTCGATCAATTTTAACTCCATCACCATCTACATCACCCTCATCCATGTCATCAATATCAACTAATAATCAACAATATAATATAAGAAAAAGTGAAAATAAAATGTGTGAAAAATCATTTGAAGAATTATTATTGTTAGAATCAGATGATATAGATTGGGATCAATATTTAAGAGAAACGGCTACTGAAATGGATGACAATGAAAATTGTTGTGCTTTATTATCAACAGAATCGGCAAATGAATTATTTAATGATTTTAGTACAACTGTAGCTCAATTAGATATTGATATCAATGGTGGAAATGGAGACATGGGACATAATGTAATTAATATTAATACCTGTTTATCAGCACATGTTTTTGATAATTTTGAATGTTTAATGCAAACAACAGCACAAGATGTTGAATCAATAGCTAATTTATATAATGCTCAAAATTTTGATTTATTATTTGATCAAGACAACGAACTTGATGGCGACAACAACTCGTTCATAGATGTCACAACAACAACTACAACAGGACCATCTCCTTCCTCTAATAACAGTAAATCAGTAAAAACACCGAATTTAACTATAAAAGGTTGTGGTATAAAAAGGCCGTTATGGTGGGATAGTACACAAGAGACAACTATAATTAATAATAGTAATGATACTAGTGGTAGTTGTGCTATGAAACTACCATCATTAGAAACAGCATTTGATATTAAATTAAACAAATAGAGATTTGCCGTTCTGATGAACGATAAAATCAATGCTTGAGAACTATGAGCTCACTGCACAGAAGTAGGATGAAAGAACAAGGAAAACAAAGTTTAGCTACTTTTTAGGATCTTACGTCCTGTTCGGTTAGAAACTAGGATATATTTGTAGATATTATTCTCATAACCCATTTGTCCACTAAAAACGCGGCATAAAATTTTAAAACATGAACAGAAACTAAAAATTTTTCAAGTTATTTTGTCGAAATGTAAATAGGTATCTGATCCATTTTTTAGTCTTCCATACAGTACTGAATAACAGTGTTATTATTATTAGAAACTATATATATCGTGCATTGGTTTTGTATAATCTAAAGCATGGACGATACTGTTTAAGCATAATTACTTGAAAAGCATTGCTTTTTCTCTCTTTCTCTCAAAATTTTTTATATTGGTTTTAGGTTTTGCTTTGTTTTGATGGAATCTCGTTGTTTGTTTTCTGCTTTTTTAAATGAATATGTTTAATTTATCTTCTTGTTGATGGTGAATATCATAATTTTGTCCAATTTTGACTGTGTTTTGCGAAAAAAATTTAAAATTGAACTAATTAATGCATTTTTGTTTGTTTGCTTTTGGGTTGTACATCACAGACACGCTTCTTTTTGTAGTTGTGGCTTGTTTTTTTGCAATTTTTATGCTCTTTTACTGTATTGCCGTCTAGGATATTTACTGGTCCATTTCTCTCTTTCTTTCCGTCCGTATCCATATCAAGCTGTGATGTATGCATTGATTTTTCTTCTTTTTCTCGTTTCTAAACGTTCTAATGAACTATCTGTGCTGTATTAAACAAAAGAATTTTATCTTTTTTCCAGCAAATCATCAACTATTAGCTGAACGATCGTTCTTGAGTGGTTTTTCTAAAATCTTTGCAAACAAAAAAGTCATTTTTATTAATTTTGGAATTATTCGTGTAATCTTGACATCTGGAGAATGTAATGCATATCTGCGTATACTTATACGTCATTTATATGTGCCTATGTCTATGTATTTTATGAAAAAACACGTTCTTTTAGTATTGGTTTATTTATTTTCAAAATGAACATGCAAATAATAGATTAACAAATATATGCCATATCATGTGTTTCTCTTCTCAACATAAACATTTCTGATTAATTATTAATTATTACGACGATATGATAAATACCATTACTAAATAAATATTTATAATCTATCTAATTAAATTTCTTATTATCCCACCTCCAAGATAAACTCGTTTTAACCATTTGGTCGATGATACTATTATTTGATTTGCCAGATTGTGTGCATCAGCAATCATATTTGATGTCGCATTTATGACTGATGATTCTGGTTTAGCCATTGCTCCAATAAATGTTTTTGATGTTTATAGTTCTGACTGTACCAGTACAGATGTGTGTATTCAGTACTCACTATTACTGTTAACTTGTATCTGTGAATACGTGTGTTGCAGATATCTCGGCACATGATCTTTCTCGTTCACAGTGTCTTATAGAAAGTACCTTGGTCGTAAGAAACTATTACTTTTCTTGGGAAATAATATTTGCAGATACGAAAGGCTATGCCGCACATATCTCGACGCATGTTCAGCTTTTTACCATAGTCAATCATCTATGACACACTAGCTTTACTTATTCCTTACATCACAATTTCGTCGCCAAAGCTTAATTTTTAGACATTTAAGCTTGTTTTGCGGGTTTTTTTCAAACTCACCTATTTACCTTAGATCTGTCTCCATCTTCAAGGTTTTTCCTCTATTTTAAATCCCTAAAAGCTCGGGGTTTATCATACATTCTTATGAAGACACCCCGATCTATCAATCAGCATTCTAGAATTAAAAAAAGATAGATTCTATAAGTCCAAAGATGACTCTCTGGCATGTATGCCAGAGATCCTGGAGGTGGTAAATTTTTCACTTTAACACGAATGGGGCAGGAGGTCAGGGCGGGGGAGTAGGGGTGAGGTAGTGAGAGTGAACGTAGAATTGAATCAACAGTTGAATAATTGAATAGTTGGAATAGTTGAATTCAAATTTTGACGTCTACACTATTCAACTAGTAACATCTAGAAAAGTAATTTCATGTAATTTTGCTTAAAATTTTAATATTTATTCTTAAAGAAAACTTGTATAGTAAAAAAAGTAGTGAAGAGAAAAGACTGAGCGCTTTCGAACTGTTTTTCAAAGTCTTGAAGTGCAGAGAACGAAGTGAACCTATTTGGAAACGGTGAAGAAATAAAGATAAACCATGCCTTTATATAAGAAAATATCTATCGGAAAAAGAATGTTAATCTATGCGGACGGGAATATTTTTTGATAAAAGTGAAATATAGGTATGAATCTTAACAGAGAAGAAGAATATATAAATATCATTTTCTAATGAAGATAAATTTGCAGGCTTATTCTTACGAAATGGATTTAAACGAAAATGAGAGAAAAAAGAAAAATATTATTTATACTTATACTCAGTTAGTCTAAGAAAATGGATAAAACTACTTGCTATGAACTTCAAGGAAAATTTTCAGAAGATTTCTTCATCTTAGCTCCTTGTTGACACACCTGGGAGTGTCAATAGACTCACCCAAAAATTTCAACCTGTTCTACCGTGTTTTGGCAGAGTTATTGCTTTTTTGCTCTTACCGAGCCCCACAGGACCTGAAAACAAAAAAATTCGATAACTTTTGATAGAAGAGCCATGGATCGCGATCGTTTTAAGTCTTTTCACTACTTTAGTATGGTCTATCAATTCATGCATAAATCGTTGAAATTGGAAGAGGGCACTTGGCGAAGATCCCTCGTTGGCAAAATTTGAAAGACTTTGTGTAGTATAAAAGAAAATATCATATGCTAATTCAGCATAAAACGTCACTAAAACGAATAATTTTTACCAAATTTTATTGAATTGAAAGATCTAACATACCAGTAAAACTCATTTTTTCAAGAGCCAGCCATCACTCAAATTTCGTTGTCTAAATTTTAAAGATTATGAGTTCCTCTTTTAGATAAAAACGAAGCTTTTAAGTTTTGTATCAGATGAATGAAAGTTAGACAAAATAAGAGACTAGCATCTTTTTGCTATACAAGTAAAATGATGACGTCTCAGTATTCATATTAGTCTGCGGTTTTTGCTAAAAGCCATTATTTTTACAGTTTTGTGACCTACGGACACTCGCGAAGACATTGTTGTGTATCGATAACGGAGACTTTACCAAAAAAGAAAAAAGATAGTAGAAAAAAGCGGTCGCATCACTGCATCGCTCGTGTACGGATGGGCACCATTACTGAATAGTTTTTTTCTGGGCACCGATGCTCACAGACGCGAGATTTTGATATCCTTTCCATCACTAATCTGACCCGTACCGGTATAGAGGTCATTTTCTGGACATTTTTTTTGCACCGATGTCACGCTTTAAATCAGCACGACATTTTTCAGGCAGCAGAACACATTTCAGTACGTCATCAATGCTAATTCGCACTTTCTAGCTCTGCTACGCGTCGATGCCGGCCGGTGCTAACGAACCAGGGTGTGCCATACGCGCGGATGCACACTGACAGTGCCACGTTGATTTTTACCAGTGCCACACTGAAATATTTTACAGAGATTCATGTAAACTTAAAATCAGTCAAATTTGACCAATCCGAATCAAGAAAGAAAAGCTCATACTCACCACGCTACCAGATCAATCTTCAAGAATGTAAGATAGATACATCGTGTACCCTAGACAAAGAAATTTGTGAAATCTTATAAGAATCTTACAAGAATCTCACAAGAATTCATAAGAAATTATTTCGTATGAATTCTTGTGAGATTCTTATAAGATTCAACAGAATTCTTGTCACTTTCATGGAAGATCTTATATAAGAATTGAGTAAGATGCTTATAAGATTCTTATAAGATGCTTGGAAGATTCTTATATAAGAACCGATGACTAGGGGCATCAGGAACATTATGAGTTTTTGAATTACAGCGTTATTTCGGCATTATTATAGTTATGACACTGAAACATTCAACATACAGTCGATAATCGAAATTACTAAATAGGTATCAAGAAGCATTCGCTCATTTTTGTTTAGTTTTCTGTGCATATCTGTGTGTTTATTATACACAAAAGAAAGAAAAGGCTTTTTTATGTACAGGGTGCGTAAAAATGTTTTTCCAGGGGGGTAACGCTATAATTACGAATAGGGTAAGTAATGAATTTTATACCAGATGAAAGCCCGTCGAAAACGGGATTTATTGATGCTAAATAGTAAGTTTTATCAAAGCATTTTAGTGTCGAACTTAAGAAAGTTTTAGAAATTGTAC